CTTGGGAAAAAAACAAGACAGCGTATCAGAAACATAATTTTATGATAGCGGCAAACAGGAAAGTTTATAAAAGTGTAGCTGTTTTCCTTACTCTCGTTTCAATTCTGTGAATCATTAACTCATTAATGGAAATTAATTGGTAATTTGGTAAAATGTTTCGTTATAACCTTATGAACAGTTATAACGTTATAAAAAGTATAAGCGAAGTCTCCCGTTATAATATTTCGTTATATAATAATGTAGTAACGGTAGTCAATCAGAGTAGTTATTTGCTAATAACGGGAGCAATACTATAAAACAAAAGATTGTTATATTTTTCTCAAACATGTCCATTGATATGAAGATGCAGTTTCGTTTTTCTGGCGGTAAAAACTGAAAGGAATATATGAATTATTGAATAACGTTTACAAAGGCTGAAAGTAAACAACGATAGAATATTTACTTTGTATTTTATTGAGATAAGAAATAAATAAGATAAGAAATTAACTCCAAGATAAGAAATAAACTATATAAAATATGGTATTTAATCAAATAGATAGAGGCTGTTATATATTGGTAAATTTAGATTCAAACTTTGCAGTCTGCTACTGCTAAAGTAGAATATGCTTGTACGGGGAGTACCCTTGTCATACATGCTAAATAGAGCACTCCGACAACTTTTTTGAGGCTTGCAATCCATGACTCATATTAAAAAATAAATATCCAACGTCCTCATATAATTTTTTTGCTTCAAATAGATTTTATCGTGTTATAAACTGTGTTTATACAGAATATTTACTCATAATACAACATAAAAACTTATAAAATTAATGTTCAATATTTATTTTAAAAATTTTCAATTGCTGTATTTATTATTTTTATTAAAACATAAATTACACGAACTTTTAGTGAACAATTTATTATGCAATATAATACTGTATAATAAAATCGGAACTGAAATTTTGTTTTCATTGATATATCGACAGCATTTGTCTTTAAATATCATTGTTAACCCTCGGTTACGCGCGCGGGGTTATATAGAACCCCCGGCGTGTTTAAACGCGTGTATTTTTTAAAATTTTTTGTGTTTAAAAATGATGCCCTCAGTACCTTCCTTCCATAGTGTAAAGATTGCACCGAAAAAATTTCAATTTTGCACGAAAATAATTTTTTGCATAGACTTATAATGGAAATCAGTCGGGTGCTATAGTACCCCGCGCGCCTAACGGTGTAATTTTTTTTCGCGCGACTAACGGAGGTGGGTCGATCTGACTTCGTGTTTTGAGGGAAAGCTTATTGGTTGATATAGAGTCAGTCATGATAGAAATGACCAATTAGAGCATAAAAGGCGTAAAAACAAAATTTTTAAAGCCAATAAACGGCAAAAAAGTTTCCCATAGACTTAACATTG